CATCGCAGATGCGAAGGGAGCCTTTCTGCAAGGCAAAGCCATCACACGCGAGCTCTACTTTCGTATCCCGACGAACCTCGGGAAGTGCAACATCCCGGGAGTGAAGGCAGGCGACCTGCTGAAGTTAAACAAGAGCATCTACGGGACCAACGATGCAGCTCGTGCGTGGTATGTGGCACTACGCGAAACGCTCGTGAAGCTTGGATGGGAAGGCCTGAGCTTCGAGCCCGCGACCTTCATCAAGCGCAATGCGGAGGGCACGATCACCGGGAACATGTGCCTGCACGTGGACGACTTCCTCATGGGCATCAAGCAAGACGACCCGAAGGGCGCCAAGATCATGAAGGACCTGCAGAAGGAGATCGACTTTGGTGAGGTCAAGTACGCGAGGAAAGAGCAGGCGACGTTCTGTGGCCGGGCCTACAAGCAGGACAAGGACGGCAGCATCAACGTCACCATGGAGGCCTACGTGAAGTCGATGCAGACTGTGCGTATCTCCAGAAAGCGCAGCAAGGCACCAGATAGCGCCTTGACCCATGCGGAGCATCGTGGACTACGAATGGTAGTTGGACAACTGCCATGGGCTGCGCGAGTGATATGCTTCGATGAGCCCTTCGAGGCATCCCGACTGGCACCTACGCTGGGAACTCCGACGGCGAAGGACCTACAGGACGGCAGCGCGGCCATCAGGCGGATCCAGAAGCGGACCGACTTGCTGATTAGGTTCTCAGCAGGCCTGAACCTGTGGAAGACCATGGTGATCAATGTCACCGACAGTGCTTTCGACAATCTGCCGAAGCACAGATCACAACGCGGACACTTCATCATGCTGGGCGACCAGAAGATCAACGAGGACCACAGCAACAAGTACAAGGTACACTGCATTGGGTGGCAGTCCTCCAAGATTCAACGAGTGGTGCGATCTACTCTATCAGCGGAGGCCTACTCATGTGCGGATTCAGTGGACATGTTGATATGGGCGAGGTCGACCCTGGCGGAGATCCTGTACCCGGAGATGGACATGACCGAGATTGTGCGCGACACCTGCCCGGTGAAATGCATTTCGGTGACCGACTGCAAGAGCCTATACGACACGATCACAAAGGAGAAGATCTCAATGACGGACAGGAGGCTTTCTCTGGAAGCGGCTGTATTGCGACAGGCACTCAAGGAGGTCAGCATCAAGTGGGTCAAGAGCGAGCAGATGCTAGCGGACTGTTTGACGACAGTACTTCCAGGAGGCTACGCGAGGAAGATAGTTACATCAAATGTGTGGACTCTTGGGCCTGATGACAGGGCACCATCAATACGCGGACGAAAGCTTGTTGGACCAGAGAAGGTGGCAGCCAACAAGGAGGTAGACGAGCTGAACGCGAAGATGGCCAAGTACGTCAAGCAGGAGCTGTGCGACGACACCTGGAAGGACGAGGAGGAGATCTCTACGTGGCCGGTGGAGACGTACAACTACGTGGACGAGTGCTTCTACGACGACAAGGACGAAGTTCACGACGAGGACTACGTCGAGGCATTCTACACGGAAGAGCTAACGGACAACTACCCGATGGAGAGGAGTGGCGCGCAGAGAACCATCCAGATACCTGACCAAGTTGTAGTTCTGTTTCAACTTTGTGCACTTGCAGTGTACGGAGTTTGTCTTTCGATGTCTCCTACGGTGGTGACAGTAGTCTCTATCATCGCGGGTATCATCATATTCATCTACGTAACGCAGCCTAAGCAGAACGACGACGAGGATACCGCTGAGCCGATGGAGACGGATAGTTCAAGCAGCGACAACCTGTTCAAGCCGGAGTTGCCAGAGAAGCCGGTCAAGGTCAAATCCAGGACGGCGAAGGCTACGCCGAAAGCTACGACGACAACACTCGCAGTACGAGCCGAGCCAGAGACCTACGATGACGAGATCATGGGAGATGGACCAATCATGCTGGGAGATCGTGCTCTACGGAGGCAGTGGCTGGAGACCATGGGACCGACGATAATCAGGAGTGGCAAGTACGAGGGCGACAGCTACGAGACGATCTGCACGAAGGACAGGCACTATGCAAACTGCCTAGGACGGTGTCTCAAGCTGGACGCAGACGAGAGCAGGAGTTATAACCTCGACCCGAGCATCAAGAATTACATTGCATACAGCATCATCAAGTCAGCAGTGCGTGCACGCTGAACCCTACTACTACATATGTGACGATATCTTTGAGCCAGCCATGGCAGTGGCTCAGGTGTGAACGGTGGTGACGATGATGAGTGATTTGGATTACCATTTTCAGATGATGAGTGATTTGGATTACTATCTACAGATGATGAGTGAAAGCACCCCATCAAGAGCTCAGGTACAGATTTAATATATTGATATCTGTTGCTCGGTGCGCAGACCTCAGGTACATATTTTATATATTAATATGTGTTGCTCAGTGTGCGGATTTCTTTTATCTTGATATTTGTTGCTCGGTGTGCGGACGGTAGCTTGACCGTTCGAGCCGACAATATTATTGAATATTCTAGAAGGTTGCTGCAGAATTTGCCAAGGCATTATTTAGCAACGTTTCCTTTTCCTGTGTGAAAGTTGTATTAGCAAGGATGTGAGATATAGGATGATGTTTAGAATTATCTATGTTGCTGCTCTCGCTCGCTCATGCTTGTACTCTCTTGTTCACCGCGGCCGTTTTGGCTGTGGACCCGCCAGCTGTGGCGGGAGGGTGGACGCACTCAACGACTGTCTAGTTTGACTCGGTATAATATCAGATCATACTCTATCAATTTCTTCTTGCATCAAGAGGTTGTGGGTGGAGAGATGTGGATCAACATTTACAAATGGCATATGTTTGGGTCCTTCGCCAGGATAATTGTTTTTGTTTGTCTCTCTCTCTTTCTTTATCTCTCTCTCTCTCTCTCTGTGGCGCGAGCTGCATCCATGAAGCCAACATACATGTCACGTTGTCTGATTCCTCGTCCCTCTCCCTCTCTCTCTCTCCCTCTCTCTATGTATCCCTCTTGTGTGTCTCTCTCTCTCTCTCTGTAGCGCGAGCTGCATCCCTGAAATCAGCACGCATTTCACGTTGTCTGATTCCTCGTCCGGTGCATGCTTGTGTTGTTTGACTTTACTCATACTCCCTACTCTGACCGCTGGCGAAGCGAAATACGACCATAACGCAGTGAATGAGCGCCTGGTCAGTGGCAATAGCTACACAGGGGAGATAAGAGCAGATGAGGAAAGGCAGCAAGAAAGGGCGGCAAAGCTGGCGCATGCGGAAGCCACTCCGGACTACGCTGGAGAAGCCCGATAACTGGATCCACTCGAGGGCGAGAAAAGGAGGAGAGGAGGGGGGCGAGGGAAAACCAAGGACACTCGGAAGGGCCAAACAACTATACATGGCGCTGGCGTGCGCAGAGAGGAGGAGGGAGGAGAGGCCAGGGCACAAAGGAACAACTAATGCCCTGAGAACGCGTGAAGCTCGACCAGCCCACCCCTCGGCGTTCCTAGTCTCGCAATGCGCATCTCCACATCTGCTTTCCCGCCGTCTTCGTCGTCCTGCACCTTGCCGTCCTCCTGCACCTTCTCATCCTCCGTCATCACGTCGCCCACCGTGGATGCGGTAGCGGCTGACTGAATGGGGGAGGGCGCGAAACGCACCGTGGTCCACGATCTGCGCCGACCTCGCTGCAAGAGCCCCCGGGGAAATTGGAGCCGCGCTGCTGGAGTCGCTCGCGGTGCCAACTGTGGAGCAGCACGCGTCTCGAGGGCACGGTGACTGCCTGTTGCATCAGCAGGCGCTAGCAAGCCCAAAGCTACGCAAACATGCTGCACGAATGCAGCATCCCCACCAGCCCACTGCGTCCACTCATCGACATGTTCAAGGCAATTCTCGACCGTCCACCCCAAGCAGCTACAAGCTTGGCGACGTCGAATCTTGGCCTGCGTAGTCGTGCGTGCCACGGCTGCACTGAGAAGGGATCCTCCTCGCTAGCGCCGCGATGGATACGATGACTGGCAGCAACTAGTGCAACCGATCGCTCGCGCCACTGTGCAGTACATAGCCTCTCCAACTCTACCACGCTACTCGGCGTGACGCTCGAACATTTCAACCAGCTCTCCAAATTCGCCGCGGTCCTTGGTGGAGCGTCATTCCCGCCTTCATCTGGCCTTGGCTGCAAGCGAAAAACATTATGCATGGCGCCCTGCATTTCTTGAGACTGCGCCGTCGCCTCGGCGATACAGAACTGACCAGGGGAGGGTGAAAGGGGATGAGAAGGGCAACGGGGAGGGAGATGAGGATGAGGAGAAGCAGCAGTAGCAGGAGGAACAGCAGCAGCTTTAGAGGCAGAGGCAGAAGGCGAAGGTGAGTACGAGCAGCAACAGAAAGAGAGGCCAAAGCAGAGGGAGGAGTAGCAGCAGGAGGGACAGGGTTGGAGAGGGCGGGAGGGAAGGGAAAGGATGGCGGGGGACACGGTGGCCTGACCACTTTGTTACCTCCGTTTGTTCCAGTCAACGAACGTGCCAATGGTGCCCAACCACATGCACGAGGCAAACCAGGAATTACGCGAATGCCAACCCTCGTCAGGCGAGCCAACGCGCAAAACCTCGGCATGTGCAAAGATAATGCAACTTGCTTCGCCACGGCACCGTAGCAGGCCTGTCCTGCGAACGGGCCGAAACTAGGGCCCCAAATTCTCGTGCCACAGCTCTTTGACTCACGACGAAAAAATGCGCGCCTAGAAAACTGGACTAAAGAATAGAGAGGGGGGGAGGAGGAGGAGAGGGAGAGAGTGGGCAGCGTGGTTGCCAACAATGCTTGCCCAGGCAGGTGAAAACAGGATGGACGGGGCGGGGCAGACTGCGTACAGATATCGCCGAGGCTGGAACGGCCGATGGAGTACCGTACCAGAAGTGCGATCGAGAGAGCCCGAAGCACATGGACAAACATCAGGGGTCAGGCCGATACGCAACATCCGAATCGAATGAGAGCTGGCGGGCTCACGGCGGCCTGTCAACTGCATCGACGCTAGCAGGTCGGGCGGGTGGCCGTCCTCGAAATCCGGGATCGGGTACATCCTGTGCCGTCCCTGGGCCTCCTATTCTTGCTCCGTCCTGCCCTCGCTACTGCTACTGCTCCTGCTGGTCCTCCCTGATTATCCTCCTCCTTCCCTCCTCAACACATGCCGATTTGGGGGACTTCCCAGACGAAGACGTGGCAGACGCGGCATGGACAGCCTTCCTGGGCGGAAGTGCCGCCGAACCCCCGCGGAAGAAACGAGGCGCCAGCAGCGCTGACGACGCGGACAAGATCTGGGAGCTGCTGTCCATCCTCGTGAAGTTGTGCCTCCAGACAAAGCAAGAGGTACACATGCTCATGGCAATCGTGTTCATCTGCTTCCGGGTTGCAGCAGATAGCTCGGCAATGCAGTGAGTCAAGAACAGGCATACAAGATCCACGCCGACCACACGAAGGGCAAGAGTGGGCACGATGAGGGCGGCCCAGACCCATGGGTAATCATAACGTTGCTGATTTCAGGAAGTCTGTCAGACTATCTTGGACTGAGAGATCTCGAGAAGACATGGACCTTCCTTGCGGCCCACCCGCCGCCCAGTGATCCCAACGGCGGGCCTGCAAACGACGAGCTCCAAGAAGCCGTCCCGTGTTGCAAGTTGCAGACAGTGTGCAACTCCAATCAAGTGAAGCTTCTCGTTCGTGCGCATCCGAAACACGCTGATTGGGATAATACCGTGAACAAGCACCTCCAGGGCATGACATGCCAGCAGTTCTTCGTCCAAGCCCCCGGGGGAGCCCTGGAGAAGAAGGCCCAGGATCTCTTCGGGAGCTCAGCCTCGATCTGGGTGACGAGAAGTAGGCGTGAGGAGTGCCTGGTACCTCGGCTGTGCTCACCGCTCCCCTTGGCGTGCTTGGCCGGGCACGCTCGGTCGGGCCACTCCGGTGGCCTGGAGCAAAGCCTTCAGAAGTTGGGGCAACGACCCGATCGCTCTGCCCGATTCCGAGTGCACCGAGTCCATGCGCAATTCTGCCGCCGCCGCCTGCTCCTTCTCCTCCTCCTCCTCCGCTCTTCCTCCTCCTCCTCCTCCTCTTCCTCATCCTCCTCCTCCTCCTTCTCTCGCTCCTCGGCCTCCTCCCCCAAGGGGGAGCAAGAAAAAGAGGAAATATTGACGAGGGTAAGTTACGTCCGCGGGAGGAGGAAGAGGATGATGACGAGAGGGACGCCGTTGCACGTCGAAGCGGTGCTGCTGCGGATGCCGTTCGCATCCGCTTCAGCATCGGCTAATACATGCAGTGGTTACCCAATTGGTCGATCGCAGGAGGGGAAAGGTATTCATGCGCGAAAATGGTCCGCAATGTGGTTTCAAGTCCATCGAGGCCTTTGGTTCTGGATAGCACGACCGGCGTCAGGCGCCCAAAATCGAGGATCCGACCCTGCAATTGGCAGAGCTCCATCCCCATCTTCAAAATCACTTTCAGAAACTCAAGATTAACGATTACCACCAGTGCGGTTGCCAAACTCAAAATTGAAATATTGGAACTTCCCGAGATCGCAACGTTCAACATTGAAGTGTTGGTCCAGTATCGGGACTTGGGGCTTCAATGTTGTACCAAAGCGCACATATGGTTTTTATAGATATACACTTATATATATATATATTCAAAATTGGGAGTTGGAGCTGAATGTTGATTTCTCCCTCGTCCCTCGCCCGACGCAAGTATGGCCCCCTCTTGCCTTGTGACTACGGGGCTTGCTCACTACCATTATGGCTCTGCCCTGTTTTGTGACCACGGGGCCTGGTCACAAAATACTGCATGTTTGGGTTTGTCTTGTTGTACGACCACAGGTCCTGGTCACAAAAACATGCGGCTATAGTTCGGTATTTTGTTCCAGGTGCCCGTGCGTGAAACCACGCACGCTTGCGCACCAGAGTTTCCAAGACTTCAGCGCGCCAAGAGCCGATGAAGCAGGACACAGCTTCAGTATTGAACAGGGACGGGCCGCTACACACAATCGCGTGTCCAAGGATGCAGCCGAGCCATCTTCATAAATTTGGCAACACCAACGAAACCAATAAGCATACATAAACTTTGTATGGTATTTGCATTGCGTGGTGATCGTAAGTGAGTGCGGCACGAAACAAACAGGAAGTGTAGGGGCAAGGTGATGACACTGACGAGGAAGTGGATGAGGAGCAAGGGAAAACAATTACACGTGACATGCAAACGCTAAGGTTGGCACCGTGCCCTGCGCCACACAATGAATGGGGGCACATTGAAAACTGCGCAATCGCGCGCATTTCCTGCACAAGCATTTTTTTGAATTACCCTCATTGCAACGATTCTTCATGCCGAGGCGTTGCTGGAGCTCTGTTAACAAGTCCAGTGGGTTCGCATCGATCATATACAGTATCATGCCAGTAGGGTCCTGCCGGCAGCTCGGGCGCATTTAGTTTGCCAACGAAAAAAGCCATGTATCAACATCGTTACGCCGCATGCTGCTCAGGGACCTGTACATGTCTAGGTAGATAGCGCTCTACGGGACCAGCCCCGCCTGACTTCCACTGTAATCCGCGGCAGGGGCAGAGTGTTGATCCACAGCCGCCGACTCAGCACGGGTGGCAGTGCACATCTGGTGACAGATCTGGGAGATCTCGGAGCACGATACGGTCAGCTGTTGACCAATGCTCCTGACAGACTTCAACAGCTGGTCAAGTTTGTCACTAGTGGACATGTCCCTGACAGGGCGATCACCACTTTCTTCAACAGCATCCAAATCAGATTCCTCCTGATTCATCTTTCTCGAAGGCGAAACGAATGTGAAATCATCAGGTACGGCGACCTCAGGCAATCTCTCAGAACAGAGAGTCTCACGAGGTAGGCGTGGTTGCCGTACACAAGAACGCAGAAAAACGTGTTCAGGACTATGCACCGCGGCGTCGTGACGAGGGGCGTCATCAGCGTCCGGAGCACGGACAGGAATAGCATCCGCAAAACACATTCGGTAAGGAACTTTGGCAGGAACGCGATCAGCAGGTCGAAATTCAGGACGTGCGCGGGGGCCGTCCCATCGTCGATGTCGTGAGCTGTTGCCCCGAAGCCGAACACCTTGAAAGTCACGCAGAACAGCGCATTTCCTGCACAAGCATGAGAGACGCTAAGAACCGCAAGAGACCGCTGCCACACGCACTGGCCGCTCTCGCGCACTTGTACAGGAACCTCGCCAGACCAGGCTGAACGGCCCTCACCTCGCCAGAAGTACCCGCTCCAAACCGTCCTCGTCCGGGCCACTCCGCAAATTGAAATGACACAGGCCATGGCCAGGCGGCACGCCGGCTTTGGTCTCTCGACCGCGGCTCTCAATCGAAAACCGCCGCAGCCGATGGATCGAGGAATCAGGCGTCCGAGGTCGGCGAGGCCAACGTCGTGAAAGCAATGCACTTCGAACGGCCCCTCGTCCTCTCTCATCAATCCTCTGCGAGCTGGCTGCATCTGTTGCAACGACCTCATCGATGTGGAAGCGGCGAGGCTTTCAGTGTTGGTGAACGTTCGCCGAATGTCGCCCTTTTCCCTAGGGTGTTGCTGAACAGCTCCCTGAGGGATTCGACGCTGCCCTGCTGTGTGAATTGCGACCTCGCCAATCCATATTCCCACGACACGCCTGTGAGGAGCACTAGCGCAAGCAGAGCAACCGCAGAACCAATTCCTAGAGGAAGGAAAATAAAACCCTCTAATAAAACAACAGAAGCACTGATCATCCACTGCCCCTGGTCATATGACGCCACATTCGCGAAGAACAGGCACACGTAGTTGACCGCAAGCAACTAATAGGCGGGTCCGATAACCCAAATCATCGCGTCGTTTCGACGCCATTCTCGGAGCTGCGTGCGCCAGTCCGGGCTGCCCTCGCAAGCCACGCGAACGAACTCCCGCTGATGCGAAGAATTCATTATAGAAATCGGGACGCCAGCGATCAGCGTGCTGACCATTCCGATTGCCATTAGACGCCCGAACTGCATGTATGCACAAATCGCACTGTCTACGCCGCTGTCAGGGTCCAAGAAATCGGACTCACACCCCTTCGATGACTTCTTGCTCAGGGCGCCACCGGTCGCGGAGCAAAAGCAGCTATGTAGTGGACTCTACGTGGTGCAATCTGCGTGGTGCAAGCTAGGTAGTGCATGCTATGTGGTGCAAGCATTGTGGTGCAAGCTATGTGGTGCAATATACGTGGTACAAGCTGTGTTGTGTAAGGGGTTCGCTGCAGCAGTGTAGAGCAAGAGACGTGGTGCAAGCAAGCTATGTGGTGTCAGCGTGCGCGCTATGTTCGGCAATTTACGTGGTGCAATCTACTTGGTGCAGACTATGGGGGCGAAGGCTACGTGGTGTAGGCTATGTGGTGCCAGCTAAGTGGTGCCCCCAAGTGCAGACTATGGTGCCCCCAAGTGCAGGCACTGTTTGGGGAAGAAGGAGAATACTAGGAAGACATATAAAAAAAGAAATAGCAATACGAATCATCATAAGAAGAAGGCGAATAATCATAGAGAGGAGCGGTTACAGCAGCAGCAGCAGGGAGGAGTTATCAGCAGAGTTACCGATGGGCAGCACGTGCCGTCCCACAATATTAAGGCCTGCCCCTAAGACATCTAAGGACTGAGTTCGCGACTGCTGGGCCACCCTCGGGGCAGAGGTGTTTGTCTTTGGCGATCAGCAGCAGGGACGAGGAACGGGAGCGGGAGGAAGGCGCGGAATGAGGAGGCGGCCTGCTTGGCCTCCAATGGAACACTGCCAACTGCGCGCTGCAGCTGGTACGGGCCAGGTCCCTCCGGGGCCAAGGACGGGTGTACACGAGGAGCCCTGCGGCACTGGCCAGGAACGCTTTTGCGCCGATCCTGGGGCCCAAGAGGGGCCTCGCCAATACGGGTGTCATCGTGCAGTCGGCAGCTGAGGATTTGGCTGACAGCGCATAGTTTGAAGATCTCCTCCTCCTCCTTTTGCTACTCCTGCTCCTATTCCTGCTCCTGCTCCTGCTCCTGCTCCTGTTCCTACACCTGCTCCTGCTCCTCCTCCTCCTCGATCCTGGCGACACCGGCCAGACTGCGGATCCTGCGCGTGGCGGGGAATGCCCGCCACCCCAGGAGGGCCAGCGCCAGCTGCACCCCACACAGCGAGCAGCCAGAGATCACTGCCGAGAGGTCTTGCTTGGACATGTCCCAGCTGCCGCCGCTGTAGCCGCCGTCCTGCCCGCACTCCGCATCTGCGGGGGACGCGGGGGGGGGGAGGCGGGCGTACGGGGAGAGTACGTTCTTCTCCAACACAAGCGCCAAATCAACGATTGCCATGATCGGACACCGCCAACACACAATTAAGCACGCAACACACACACACACACAACGGCGATCATGAAGAGGATCGATAGAGAGAGGGGGGGTAAGAGTGTGGGAAAATACTGACGCGATGCACCGATATGGACCGTGCACAATACAAAAACAACGGCCTTGTTTCCTATCCAGTCTAATGTGTCGGCAAGGGAGGACAGGATGAGGAAGAGCGGATGGCAAAGGGGGAGAAGGCTGACGTCAATCACAACGCGACGCTCAACTTGCAAGCAACACATCAAACAAACATAACCGAGGCGACGAGGACGACGACGACAAGGACCCGGAAGAACCAGAACATGCATGGTCCTCGCACAGGCAAAAAGAGGAGGTGCCGTGGCGAAAGGGACGGCGATGCCCTCACCTGCTGACGAAGACCATTCTTCAGAAACGTCTCCATCATACATTGCTTGCATCAACTCGCACCAGCGAATCTCGGTGCCGTGGACTTCTTGGCAAGAACCCGCCTTGTCGCATGAAGGATGCCAAGACCTTCCACCTGCGGCGGCGAAGCCGTGAACGCACAAGGGCGATCCATGCGATGGGGGCGCCCCGCTTGCTCCCACAGGCACAAGAGCCTATGCACTTTATCGTGTTCTCCCCGTCGGTCATCGGCCGATGCTGGCACGCGGCACTGCGTACGTCGGTCCACCTGAGCTCGAGCAGCACGCAAGTGTGCAGAGGGCTCTCGCTCCAAAGAGCCTGCGGAGGGTGTCGGCGAGCAGGTGCTCCTCCCAGTGTCTTGACCGTCTGCGGGGCGATGCCTGCATCCTGCAACCAATCCTGGCAGGCGAGGCACGCTGCATCTGGTGCGATGCCCGTCCAACAAGCCACGCAAAACAACGCAGGTAATGCCTCGCTGTGGAAGTCGAAGCGGTGACCTTGGCTATATTGATGGCGAGCATATGGGCCAGACCCAGAGGAGGATGTGGAGCTCCATGTAGCAAGGGAAGGAGCAAGAGGGTGATGCGGGGGATCTTGCGACCTTTCGCATTTGCCAAAGAAAGTTCGCTCGGACCCAATATCATTCGTTCACATATTCGAATATCTTCATCCTCCTCATCGTGATTCGCGTCCCCACCCCCCACTTTCCCCTCCAATGCGACTCCCAGGATCATGTCGATTAGCTTGACGGAGACCATCTGCGCAGTGACGCACAACTTCCCTGATTTTAGCGAGCTGGCACGCGACCGCACGGCGCGGCTGAACAGCGCGTATATGTTATTGAATGACCTGCAGGGGCCAGGGGAGGGTTAGAACGGCGAGTGGCAAGCGGTGTAAGTATAGACGTGGGGCGCGTCGGAAGGTGAGGAAGAGCCAAATGCTGGGGACGATGGTGGCGAAGACGGCAGGAGCAAGCAGGGGAAGGTGCATTACAATGACAAGTGGCGGCGCTTGTTGATGGTCTCTGTTGTTATTCACTTTCACGAAAGAAGGCACATTGTCTTGACAGGGTCCCTGCTTGACTTTTCAGCGCTGGCTGCAGTCCACTGGCGCGTCATCAGAAAACCCACGCGGCGCGAGAGCAGTCGACCTGAACTGTGCTGGAACACGGGAAACAGACAATCCCCTGGCCACTCGTGGAAGTCACTTCTCGGCGCCATATCCGCATACAACAACAAACATGTACTGAACACAAATGCATGGCCCTGTCTGTATTCTCTTGATTGTTTGGCCGTGCTTTCGAACATCGAAAGCCACAAATGGCCCTCAGCGAGGCGCAACTGGTTCACCTGGCCGCGATGTCCCGCGAGCCCGCATGGAGCCAGAAGGAATGAGGGTCGGGCGACAGCGAGACATGATACATACAGATGCCGCCAGCAGCAGCGAGTCACCCGGGGTGGCTCTGGTCCCGTGGTAAGGCAATAAGGGTATCAGCTGTTCAGCCGCTCTGGGACAGACGTCTCCGTCGGCGGAGATCTCGACTACTGCTGCGTCAGCTTAACAAGTATTCTGTGTTTGGTAACGTGCTGCCCTTCCGCCCTGCCCGACCACATGCCCAGCAGTGTCGTCACCGTATACAAGCCAAGCAGCAACCTCATGGCTGTGCCTGTTCCGGCTGGTCTCACCTGGGCGGGTCCGAGTTCAGGGCAAGAGCAGCACGCAGCAGACAGCCAGCAAATCGTGACAGGCAGTCTTCGAAGGTGCGAACCACCACACCCATGGCAGGGTGGTGCGTGTTCGACCATTCGCCTGCCCTACTTGTCTGCGGCAACACATAGCCAGAACTACTTGAAGGCTGGAGCACCACGCGAACGCACGCCAGAAGGCTCTGCGGGGCCCGCTAGGAAACTCCAGGACGTGAGGCGTCCAAGTCTTTACGTTATTCTCTGCCTGACAACATCCAAGTTCGCCTGGGCCTTTGCCTTTCCCAACGCTACATACGGCAAGGGCGCAACACTATCAGACATGCCACAAGATAGCCTGCATACGGCCCCTAAGAGGCTCAGATGGCTCCACGCCGCCCTAGGAGCATTGAACAGGCCAAATTCATAGCAACAGCAACTAGGACTGGTCTTCAATGTTTCGCTTCTCATCGGAGGGCGCCTGAACGAGATGGCCCACAACGGTCCCACGACGGGCCCGAGACGCCCAAGACGGGCCCCAGAAGCTGCCCGCAGGACCCATGAGAGTCCCAAACAGGCAGTAGTCCCAGAATGGCACCAGGGCCAAGACGACACCAAAACAAGTCTGAGAGGCCCAGAACGGCCTCCGCATAACGATCCCAAATAAGACGTCTTTTTGGGTTATCCACGGACACAGCCTGCGAGGGACCCCCTAGAAACAACCAGTCAACCCAGCAGAAGAACTATGAATAGCGAGCCATCCGTAGGTTTGTCCACTGGCACGCTACGCCCTTGACACAGCCCCTGGCACGTCCCCTGACACGCCCCCCGGAACGCCAACTGACATGCACCCTAAGGTCTTCTGGCAGGTCCCTCCGCAAACCCACCGGCACGCCCCTTTTCACGCCCCCTGGCATGTTTTCTGACAGGTTCCCCCGCGCGCCCCGAGGAATGTCCCCTGGCACGTCCCCATCGCACGTGTCCTGGCACGCCCCCCGGCACGTCCACTAGCACGTCCCCAGACACTAAAGGCCCTGAGAGGTCGCGAATCGGCAAAGTCTACAAGAAGAACTAACTTATCATGCTCAGGCACCCTCCGCCGATCTCGGAAACCCGCTTGGGGAGGCCTCGAAATGACGCCCCGGCACAACACAACTATGACACCATTGGCGGCAAAACAACGAAACACCTTTTGAACACCAGAGAGAGCACCATACACACAAATGTCTCTCTCTCTCTCTCCCTATATATATATACATATATACATACACGAATACGAGCACCAGTCATATGCATATACACATACACGCATATGCATATGCATGTTCGAAACTGTATACATGTACATTTACACTTACGTTCTCACACACCCATTCAATGCACACGCATACATACACATGCACTTAGCGCATTTACGCATTGGTGAACATATATATATAAATATGCACATATGCATATGACTCTACATCTTCATATGCACACACACTGACAAATACCCATACGTGTGCATGCACATGTGCATATGCATGTGCATCGACATGCACACATACACATTGATAGACGCATACGTATACGTATACGTCATGATACATATATATATAAATATACAACTGCAGATAAATATACATGCGTATGCACAGGTGGTTGTCATCTGTGCATGCACATACACACATGTGTGCAGTCATACACACACACACACACACACATCTGAATACAACCCACATGCGCAAATACATATACGCAGACAGTACAACTACAGGTATATAGATCTGTATGTGTATACGCATATTTGTATGTGCAGCGTGTATACATATATACGAGAGAGCGTGATCCACCGCCGCTTCACTGTAGAAAATTGCCAACCTTTTCCTCCGGAACCCGGGGGTCGCCCCCCCCCCCCCTCCGAAAATCCCCCCCCCCTGCTCGAACCCCCCCCCCCCTTCCCCCGGCAAAACCCCCCCCTATAACCCCTCCCCCCCCCCCTCCCCTCGAAAACCGGGGGGGGTCACTACCGGTTCGAACCCCTCCCCCCCCCCCCCCCTCCGGATCTGGAAAACCGGGGGGGGTCACCGGGTTCGAACCCCCCCCCCCCCCTCGAAAACCGGAGGGGGGTCACTACCGGTTCGACCCCCCCCCCACACGCACCGCCAGCAAACGACTCCCGGTCCCTACCACCGTCCGCATCACATCCCCCACTGTTGTTCCCAGCACCACTGTCCTCACCACCACTGTCCCCACTGGTTCCACCACCGTCCCTACTGTCCCCACCAGTGCCCCCACCACTGTCGCACTGTCCCCACTGTCCCCACCACTGTTCCCACCACGGTTCCACTCTCCCCACTGTCTCCACGGCCCCAACCACTGCCCGACTATCCCCACTGTCCCCACTGTCCCACTGACTCCTCCGCTGTCCCACTGAGCTGTCCCACTGTTCCCACCACTGTCCCCACTGTCCCCACCACTGTCCCCACTGTACCTCTGTCCCATTGTCCCACCGCCGTCCTCGCCACCGCCTTCACCACTGTCCCCACCACCATTGTACCCTCCACTGTCCCACTGTTTCCACCTCATTCCCACTGTCCCCACACCACTGTCCCCACCACCACCGTCCCCACCACTGTCCACTGTCCCCCCTGTTCCCACCATTGTCCCCACCACTGTCCCCACCACTACCGTCCCCACCACTGTCCCACTGTCCCACTGTCCCCACCACTGTCCCGCTGTCCCCTCACCACTGTCCCCACCAACACCGTCCCCACCACTGTCCGCACCCCCACTCGGTTTTCGAGGGGGGGGGGGGGTCGAACCGGTAGTGACCCCCCCCGGTTTTCGAGGGGGGGGGGGGGGGTTCGAACCGGTAGTGACCCCCCCCCTTTTCATGATGAACTGGGGGGGGGGGGAGGGGTTCGAACCGGTAGTGACCCCCCCCGGTTTTCCGGTCGAGGGGGGGGCGGGGGGGAGGGGTTCGAACCGGTAGTGACCCCCCCCGGTTTTCCGCCAGCAGCGGTAGAACACGCTCTTTCATATATACGTATGTAGATACGTGTACGTGCCTATCCTTTGCATTTACACACGTAGACATGTATACACATACAGACATATTCACGTATAGATAAGAGTCTATGTTACACTAGAACTAGAATGCCTTCAGATACTGAAAACTCACAATTCGCCGTAACTGAACAGATCCGTTACCAACATTGTCCTTAGTGGTTCCACCGTGTTTTTCAACCCAACGGTCATCCTAGTTTCGGAATCATACAACGCGGCGCGCATCGCCCATCCAGCCCCGTACTACGCGGTGAACCTTGTTTGATCTACGATGCAACTTCTTCCTAAATTGCCACGGCGGTCGGGACCCCATATGAGGATATGTTTAGCTTGTCTTGGAAGACTATCCTGCCCCCTCCTGCTACCTCCTGCTACCTCCTCCTGCCTCTTTCTCCTCCTCCACGTGCCACGTGCTCTTGGATGTTTCTTCTCCTCCTGCCTCCTCTGCGTTCTGCCGTCTCCTCCCCGTGTCCCCTCGTTCTCCTCATGTTATTTTTTTGATTCCTCCTCCTCCTCCTCTTTCTGCCTCCTCATCCTGCCGCCTCCTCCTCTTCCTCCTCCTCCTCCTCCTCCTTATCTTCTTCCTCTGGCCTCCTCCTTGGGCCTCCTGCATTGCCAGGGGGCTCTGAGGGCATCCTGGGGCCTCCCTGCAGTGGCCTCCTGGAGCTTTCTTGGGTTGCCCGGGGCCTCCGTGGGCGCTCTTCCCTCTTCCTCGTCCTCCTCGTCCTCCTCGTCCTCTTTCTCGTCCTCTTTCTCGTCCTCTTTCTCGTCCTCGTTCTCGTCCTCGTCCTCGTCCTCGTCCTCCTCCTCCTACTCCCCCTCCTCCTCCTCCTCATCCTCATCGGGGCCCCATACGGAGGAGGCTCCCGCTCGAGATCTTCTTGCAATTCACTCACAGACGAGGCTCCAGCTCAGGACTTCCTTCAGATTCAAAGCCCAGGATGCAAAAGTGACGACAACTACACGGAACGGATGACCCGCGCGGATTGGTAGCATGATCTGCGGGCCCATCGGGAAAGTGGCTCAAACCCCAGGACCCCGAAAAATGACGCCGGTTACAAAGATCAGATGACCCGCGCAGATTGGGAACATGATCTGTGCGGGCTCCGTAGGGAGGGAGCTCCCGCTCGAGACCTGCTCGATGCTCGCGACTCACTCGCAGACGAAGCTTCCGCTCGAAACTTCCTTTAGATTCAGGCCCCAGGAACCCAAACGTGACGACGGGTACAGGGGTCAGAGGATCCGCACGGATTGGTAAGGTGCTCCAGAAGGAGGGAGCTCCCGCTCAAGACTTCCTCCCGGTTCAATCGCAGACAAGGCTCCCGCTCGAGACCTCCTGCCGATGCAGGTCCCAGGATCCCACAAATGACGACTGTTGCAAGGACCACATGACCCGCATACATTAGTATCGTGATCTGCGGGCCCGCTAGGGAGGGGGCTCCCGCTCGAGACCTCCTCCATATCAAGGCCCCAGCAGCCCAGATACAAGGACCAAATGGTCCGCACGGGTTGGCAAGATGATCTGCGGGCCCCATAGGGAGGGGGCTCCCGCTCCAGACTTCCTCGCGGTCCAGTCACAGACGAGGCTCCCGATCTAGACTTGACCCAGATTTACGCCAGGATAGCTCGAAAACGAGAATTACAGGGATCAGATGACCCGCGCGGATTGGTGGCATGAAATGCGGGCCCCATGGACAAGGGACTCCCGCAAAAGACTTCCTCGCGATTCACTGATAAACGAAGCTCCCGCTCGATAGGTCCTCAAGATGACTGTGTGAGCATGTGGGTGTGCGAGTGAATGCGAGTGTGCTGATAATGACCGATGATCATGGTGGTATGACGAAGACTGATGACGACACGGTGATGGTGACGATGAAAATGACAGGGAGTTGGTGCCGTTGCTTTCAATGGTGGTGGTGGTGATGCTGATGATGGTGATGATGATGAGAAGCGACGAAAGTAATGAGAGAGGCGGGGGGTGAGGTGAGGTTCCTGCGTG